CACTATTCTTTCAAGGATAAGTATTGGGGCACCTTCCATGCAAATAGACCAACGGTCATCGGAGATGCAGACCTGACTCCTCCGGAGCAGGTGTATGGACAAATACTGTACGGGCACGTGACAAACAGAAGAGACTTTCTTGTATAAAATGGAAGGACATTTGAGATAAACAGGCAATTGGTGAGAATATAACTGAAAACTATTGTTATGCATAAGTATGTGTCCTACATTCCCAGGGAGGCAATGTCTATCACATATAAACAGAGCAACACATACATAATTCATTTGCAACAGCAGCAGTCATGGAATCTCATTTAAAAGAATGAAACAATAGTGTTTCTGTGCTCTCGTCAGACTGGCGGTTGAGGAATATGTTAAATGGTGAAAGTATGCAGTGAGTGTTAACACCTCTTGACCCTTTCTGACTACGATAAGCTGTGTACGGTATGGACTGATTTCCACTCAGAGATTAGACAATTTGAAGAGATTAAGCTCAAATCTATAATGCACTGACTAAATGATGCGGGGCGATGGTTTAATGGGACTTACAGAAGGCAAATGTGCAGTTAATTGCTCCAAACGCTGAAGGCGTTGACTTTAAAGTGGATGCAGTTTTGAATTCACTTTCATCAGAATTTATGAGCAAATGCTGCAGTAATTTTTGTAAGACAAAAAAAGGAAAAAATTCAGAAATGGTACTAAGATATATAAAACACATACAAAAACTGTGAAAAATAACCTGTTTGGCTCATTAAGGGACCAATTCAGTGACAAGCTGTATATGTTTTCTGTATTATTTTGTAGAAAATTCTATATCTGATTGTTAGATGTTAAATAATTATTGATGTTTTTGATTTACTAATGAAGGGGCTTTGTAGTGTTCTTGAGGGGAAGCCACATTCCCAATCCAAAATGCTGGGAGCATGGCAACAAAAGGTTACAGAAATATCTGATTCTAAAAAGAAAAAGCCTGAGACTGATAAAGTCAACTGTTAACAGGTCCGTAATATAATCAGGTGTAAATGTTTGGTGAATCCAGACATAAATCTGTGAACAAGGAACACAGCCCACAGCTAGCATTGGATGCTCATGATCTCTGGATGCTCTGGGTGCGATCCCTGCATGTGCTCATCAGCAGTTTTAGAAACAAGGGGCTTTGCACACAGCTCACTGTGCCATCCATAAAATGCAGGTTAAAGCTCAACCATGCAAAGAACAAACCATAAATGGACATCATCCATAAAGACCATAACATTCTGGTGGCCAAGACTTATTTAAAAAAGACTGAGTCAAAGTGGAAACCCTATAATATAATATAATATAATATAATATAATATAATATAATATAATATAATATAATATAATATAATATAATATAATATAATATAATATAATATAATATAATATAATATGAGTATGTGGGGTATATTAAATTGTTCCCCCTTTTGCTCTGCCACTTAGGGGCCTTCCTCCTGTCAGAGCACCTCAGTCACCACGTTTTGTGTTTTCATAGATGGCATATTTGCCTGTTTTTAATTTGATATAATGAAACCGTCGCGGGAAAGAAGATGACAAAGCTGACCTACAGAGTGTATCTCCAAAAGTGAAACCTGCTCTCACTGTGCCCATAAAATCGAACACATTTTTTCTAAACCATTCCATCCCTCCGTTTATCTCCTGCAGCATCGCACACTGTGCGCCTTGTCTCCTCCAAAAGTCCCATTTACAGTAAATCATTCCAATCCCGTATGATTTCTTAGTCATCCGGTTGAACCACAAGAGCTGAGAAAATCCCTTTAAAGGCATTCCCTAAATTCACAGAAATGCATCGGCTTCATAATCTGACACATGTACATAATCTGTACATTAATCTAATCCAATAATGACTAAAATTTATGTGGAATCAACTGATTTGGATTATTAGCCGGAGACAAAGACACGCAAACCTTTTAAAAAGAAAAGACTGCCAAAAACATCCATAGGAAGGATTTAGATTCTCTGCTATTGCTCGGGGTTACCCAGGCTTTTGATAACACACATTATCAGCATTTCACAATAATAAATACCCTCATTGGACGAAACAAAACCTTAAACATACACTTATGTCATACACACGCCGCTACAGACGTAAAACAGAGAGACAGATTTGGGGTTTAGAGAAAATCCAGCATATGTAAAAGAGCGAATTGCCATTAAAGACTTAATGCTTTATGTGAAGTTAATGCCTACATAATGTTTTTCAGAGCAGTCCATTTAGCTACAGACCACAGCACCCTGGATTACGCCAACAGTGGACATGTAGCCAACAAAACACTTGTGCCGCCATGAGAACAGACCATTAGCAGGAGCCACAAATCTCCTTATGACAGCAAAAAGGAGAGATATTTTGACAACAGATTACATGCATTTGATGGCTAAATTCACATCCGTAAGCCTGAGCTAAAAGCATTTGACGCAAAGAGATGATTGACAGAAGCTCTTTTAAAGTATGAGGCAATAGAATGGGAGGCAATCTCAGTGCACAAGGAAAGGTTGAAAATGAGCTACTTCATACCCCCCCCCCTCACACACACACCCGCATACAATAAATATCATACTATGGGAGTTTTTAAGTGATCTTGGAGGTCTGGGATAATCTCCACTGTAGGATATTTGTTTATTCTTTATCTTTTAAAGTCACTTCCATGGTGTTTCCAAATTAAAACCTGTTGGTTAAGTTTAAGAATTTAAACGTGTCATTTTTTGTTAAATTTAGCCAAATACTTCGTTTAATTCTGTAAATCTCCTTCCATGTGCTGAAAAACTCAATATTCTATCTCAGCTATGATGAAAAGAAAATTCCTATTTCTTTGCATGCCTGAATTTAATTTTTTTTGTTGTCGTTCTTATGTCACGTTCTGCCTTGGACTACAGTTAAAATAGAAACTTGGTCACGTTAACATATCATACATCATTGAAAAAAAAGAGAAAGCAAAAGATGGAAGGAGCATAAAGCAGTTCTTTGACCCTTTGAGGAAATAAAAAATAGATATCTGCATTAAATTGCAACAGCCATTCATTCAAATCTCATTACTCTTGAATCCCAACAATTTTACCTGTCCATACCCTCTACTGAGTTAGTCAATTCTGGATCTCAGTTGTATCTCATGTATTTAAAAACTAGTGGGGTTATTTACATATATATACTGTATATATATATGAATAAAATTATTTAAAAATAATTAAAAAAAATATTACAATAATTCTGTGGAGATTTACTATATTCTTAACCATCCCCACTGGCAATCTGATGTATAATAACCACTCTTGAGCTAAACTGTGAATATTATTTTCTATTCAATGAATATTCCTTTTCCTTTTGCAGCCAGAGAAAAAAACAGTTCAATATTCAAATCTAGCTGTGGGAGATTATGCAACTTTATTTAAATGCATCCATATTCATGGATGCGGCATGTGAGGCTGCACTATGCTTTATAAAAACGCTGTTCATGCATACACCAATGCAACCGTATCTGAACATCATCGAGGATGGGCCACGCATAAAAAAGGGATTAAAAGAATGCAAGTTTCAGTTTACTGAGAAGACTGCAAAGTCAGTGGTGAAATGAGTCCATAGCGTTTTCTCAAACATGACGCCGAGGTGCATGAGAGGAGTTGGGTCGGTCCAGTCTGGGATCACTCTGCATCATTTTAGACTGTACTGATGTCTGAAGTAGTGTTCACG